AGTCCAGTTGTCTATAATGTTGCCATCACTCCAGGAAATTCCCTGGTAACTTTCTGCAATTTGTTATTCTCTCTCTTCACAGGCTACCATAGATTTGAGTTCTATGGTAATTTGTCTGTTCTAGAATTTTATGTAAATAGTATGTACTTTGAATTTTCTTAGTCTAGTTTCTTTCACTCTGAGAGTTCATCCTTGTTACAAAGTCTTAACAGTTATTGTCATTGCTGAGTAGTAGTAGTATATTGTGTGAATAAAGCACAATTGCTTGTCCATTCATGTCTGTTCAGTGTTTATTGATGGATGTTTGTGTTGTTTCCAGTTTTGACTACTATGAATAAAAGGTCTGTGAACATTTATGCGCAAATCTTTTTGTGGACATGATGTTTTCTTTTTGGGGGCTAATTACCTAGAGTGGAATTGCTGGCTCATAGAGTAGGTATATGTTTAACTTCATAAAAAACGGCCAGCTTTTCTAAGTAGTTGAATATTTTTACCTTCCCAGGAATGTATGAGTGTTAGAATTATTCCGTACCCTTACCAACGTTGAATTTTAGTTACTTTCTTGGGTGCTCATGGTTCTCAATTATAGTGTGTGTTTCTCTAATGACTGATGTTTATTGTAACATCTTTTCATATGTTTATTGTCTATTTATATATCTTATTGTGAAATATCTGCCCGCATCATAATATATTCTGGAAGCAAGTCACACACACACACACACACACACACACACACACACACACACACACACGGTGCTTAGAATCATATCCAGGGCCTCATGCATGCTAGGCAAGTGTTACACCAATGAGCTACATTGCCAGCCCCTAAACAGTCTTTCTTAAAAAAAAAAAAAAAATTAACCATTTCCTTTTAAACAAATTCTTTTTTTTTTTTTGGTACCAGGGATGGAACTTGGGACCTTGCACTTGCGAGGCAGGCGCTGGAACCACTGAGCTGAATCCCTGGCCCAACAAATTCTTTTTTAAATATGTGTGTTGTGAATATTTTTCTCCCAGGTTGTATCTTGAATTTTAATTTTCTAACTATCTTTTGAGGTTCAGAAGTTTGTAATTATGATAAAGTTGAATTTATCAATTTTATCTCATTTAGTCTATGTTGTATATGAAGAAACCTCTTACCCTAGTTGGTGAAGATTTTCTGTGTACATTTTTTTCTAGAATCTTTATAGTTTTAGCTTTTACATTCAGGTTTATATCTCAGTCAGATGTGTGATATGTAAGATAAGGGTCTAGATTTAATTTTTTGTATGTTTATCCATCAGTTGCTGTAGTACCATTTTAATTGAATTGCCTTGATCCCTTTGTTGAAATTCCATTGGCTCTGTATTTATAGGTCTATTTTTGGATTCTCTTCTGTTGGTAACTGTCTTCACATCAGTACAACAATGTCTTGATTACTATAGATTTTCAATATATTGTTGTATCGGGTAATGTAAATCTGCCAGTGTTATTTTTATATTTCATTTTAGAATGAGTTTGGTTTTTTCTTTAAAAATCTTTCAGAAGACAGGTGTGGTGGCATGCACTTGTAATAACAGCACTCTGAGGGAGACTCAGGCAGGAGGATGACAAGTTCCAGCTCAGCCTGGGCAACTTAACTATTTAGCTTGACACTGTCTCAAAATAAGAAAGGTGGGAGAAGTAGCTCAGTGTGAAAGCACTGGGTTTAGTCTCCAGTACTGAACAGAATTGGTTAGAATTACGATTAGGTTTACTTTGAATCTGCAGATCAGTTTGAGAAACTTAACATCTTAATTGTATTGATCCTTATCGAAGACAATAGTACAATCTCTCCATTTATTTAGGTCTCTAATTTTTCTTAGCTATCTTTGGTGGTTTTCTTTTTTTTTTTTTGGTAATGGGGATCGAACTCAGATCCTTGTGCTTGCGCAGCAGGCGGCAAAACCACTCAGCCCATCTTTGGTGGTTTTCAGTGTATGTCTAGTTATTGGCAGGAACCTCCAGTACCAGACTGAATAGAAGTGGTAGAACATATCCTAGCTTTATTTATGATTTTAGGAATAAGAATGTAATAATTCACCACTGAGCTTGATAGCTGTAGGGCTTTTGTAAATGCTCTTTAACAAACTAAGAATTTCTGTCTATGCCTTGTTTGCCTAAGTTTTTATTATTGATAATGGCTTTGAATTTGAGATGTCCTAAGTTTTCTTATAATATGGTAAATTATTGAGATTTTAAAAAGGCCAACCTTTTCTCTAAACTTGATCATGATATATTTATTATCCTTTTTATGTGGTAGTCAATTTGCTAATGTTTTGTGGAAAATGTTTGAGTATGTTCATGAGGGATATTGGTTTGTAATCTTTTCCATTAATATTGTAGGTAGATTTTTAGTATCAATGTGATGTTGGCCTTATAAAGTGAGATAGGAAATGTTCTCTTCTGTTATTTTCTGACTGAGTTTATGTAAGATTGGTGTTTTAACTTCCTTGAATGTTAGATAGAATTCACAGTTGAAGTTATCTGGACCTGGAGCTTTCTCTGTGAATAGGTTTTTGCTTGAAATTTTTTTCTTGTCAGTTTTAATAAAGGGATTTTTCTATTTCATTTGAATTATCAAATTTATCATAAAATTGTTCATAATCTTAACATCTGTAAGTTTTGTAGTAATATTCCCTCTTTTATTTCTGAAATTGAATAATACATATTTGGTGTTGCTCTCTCCTCAAAGGATTTAACTATTAATCTTTTCAAATTCTTTTAGTAGGTCTGTGTTTGGGGAGCGATATTGGTTATTACACCCAGGGCTTTCACAGTGAACTATATCCCAGCGGTCTTCTTATTTTTTAATTTTGGAACAGTGTCTTTCTAAGACACTAAATTGCCTAGGTTGGGCTCAAACTTGTAATCCTCCTGTCTCAGCTCTCAGAGTGCTGGAATTATAGGTATGCCCTACCACTTGTCTTATACTTAATTTTTTTTATTACTATATTTGATCAGAGAATATAGCCTATATGATTTTTGGTTAAGAATCTTTTTTTTTTTTTTTAAAATATGTGGATGGTCTAATTCAGTTGCTCCCATTCTTTCATGTCCCGTAATTATACTGTTTAAGTCGTGAATCTACCTAATTTTTTTTAATCTGTTTTAATCTTGATTTCTGAGAGAATATCAGTTTGCAACTGTGATTGTGGATTTGTTTTGTTTCTTCTTGTTATTTTTTTCCTGTCACTTTTTGCTTCCTATATTTGAAACTTTTTTGTTAGTTGTACTGCAGAATCTTGTAGTTATTGATATGAAACCTTATTTGTTAATGTTTTATATTACCTAATGAATTTATTAATGTGAAATTTTATTACCTTAAGTCACTATTGTCTCATATGCTTCTTTATCTTATTTTACCTTGTATATATTTTTAAATTTGGTGTGACTTTTGTAAAATATTTTACACTCAGGCTTTTTATTTAAACAAATTTAAACTGTTACTGTAATAACATATTCATATCCAGCTTTCTTACATTTCTCTCCTATCTCCATTCTCCCACTTTCCACCTCTCCTTCCATTTCCATTCTTTCCTCCTTTCTCCAGCACCACCAATCCTACCAAATGTTTTCAAGTGTTGCTGTCCCACAAGCAGAGATAAATCCTTTTACATAAGGATCATTGCATTTGGTAACCTCTGTGGAATAAATAAAGCAGTGCTACTCAGTAAAACAGCTTTTCCCCTTGTAAGCCTCACATCTCATCCTTGTATTAGACCCAATTCAGAAATGAAAAAACTAATTTTATGAGTGAAATACCTGTAACAGAGGTATTTGTTTTGGTATCTATGTACTTTGGAAGTATGAAGTCCCTATCCTGACCTCTTGTAGTCCATGAGGTTCCTGACCCATAATGCAGGCTCAGTAAATGTGAAATTTAAATTTGTCTCCCCTGTACCTTTTCCTCTCTGCAGTGGTGGGATATATATGCCATGCATTACTAGAGGACCATCTGGACAGAACTTTAATCAATTCAAGAGAAAGATACTCTCTGCCTTTATTCTTTCAGTGGTTTCCATTATCAAGGAGAACAAAAATCTCTGTGTGGTTCTTCACTTCTCTATAGCACTTGCTAATAGTTCTTCCTCCCCTTTTGTAAATAGTGAGCTGGGGTCAAGTTCACTGTGTTGGTAGCAACAGTATTTATCTAGAATTTTTGTTTTGTTTTCCTGTTACTTTTTTGTTATCTTGTATTTTTTCATAATTTGATTTTTCATTTCAAGGTAAGAATAATATTAAATATAGGTAGGGTTAAGTGGTTTGATAGAATAAACAGTCAAGAAGGTAGTGTGGAGTGAGTGAAATATGGGAGTCCCTTTTGTAGCATTTTCAGTCATTCCTATTTTGTCTGCCGTATTATTTAACAAGTTCTAACCAAGTGTTTACAGAGGTGTACTTTGTGCTGAGAACTGCATCCTGAGGCTACAATGAGATCTGTGGTACTCTGAACCTAGTCTAGGCAGGGAGAAGAACTTGAACTCACCTGGTGTGAGTGTACTGAGGCAAATGCTGTCTGTCAGAGTACCAAGGACATTAGTCTGATGGAGGAAGCAGAGGCCACCTCTGGGTTGTAATTTTTGTAATTAGCTGCTGGTTTCCCTTTTATTTGAATCTCTGTTCCTAAATTCATGTCAGTGTTTTGAAGGAAAGGGCCTTTCTTTGTAGGTGCTACTCTCAAAAGCACTGTGCCCAGAGAGAACCATGTCATATTGGCACTGAGAAAACAGGGTGGCTGGTAGAGTTCTGGGGTTAGAGAACCACTGCCTTGAGTCCCAGTTTCTTCATCTTTGTCAGTGATGATAAGACTCAGTGCCCTCCTGCTTCATCAGACTGCACATGCGTGAGCAATTGGTAATATACATTTGTACATCAGTACTGTATTATCTTCACTCTGTTACTAGTTTTAAAAACCTAATGGGTCTGATTTTGAAGATATTGTAGATGTTTAATTATTTCCCCCCCCCTTTTTTTTTTAGGTCTTGATGCAGAACTTTATTATGTGAGAAACGACCTTATTAGTCACTACGCTCTGTCCTTTAACCTGTTAGTACCCAGTGAGACAAATTTCCTGCACTTCACTTGGTATGCAAAGTCCAAGGTAAGAGTGGTCAGCAGACATCAAGACAGGGTCACCCAGGTGCCAGAGGAAAGGGTGGTGTGTAAGGAGTGAGCTGTCATCTATGAAAGGGTCAGTGGGTGGTGTGCTATAACTATCTGTTCTTTTCAGATTTATATTTTTAAAAATATAGCTCATTCCTCTAAAATTTCTCAAATCCTTTCCAGTGAAGGTGGCATCATTTAGGTAATCAACACATGATAGAATACTTGCATCCTTTCAGACTTTTCCAGTGGGATCTGCATCTAGAAAAGACAGTTGTTAGTGACCATGCTGTTGTGGTGAAGCCTCTAATGGTTTTGTAATGTGATGTTGAATTGATAGGTGATATATCTTTTTTTTTTTTTTTTTTTTTTTAAGAGAAGTTCCTACTATGTAGCCTAGGCTTTCCTTGAACTCACGGCAATCTTTCTGCCCCAGGCTTCTGAGTGCTGGAATTATAGACGTGGGCCACCACACCTGGCTTTATATCATTATTTGTTAACTTCCTTGTTGATGGATATAGATTCTCAGTAGAATTTTACTATTTAAAACAATGCTTCCCTTCACTGCTGTACAGTAGTTTCCTTCACTTCATTTGCCTGGGAAGATTTAATGTTAAGGGGATGGTGAGACTAACTGGCAGTTCATCTTTTGTTGATGTTTCTACTTTTTCAAAGAATTTTTATTAAGAAGTTTTTGTACTTTTGCTATTGATGAACATAGAAACAGAAAAAAACGGTATGTATATGAATGTATTGAGAACATCTTTGTTCAGGAAGCTTGTGAACTTAAAATATTTTTTTAAACAGTGAATTACCACTAAGAAGTGAAACGACTCTATGAAAGAATTTTTGTGTTTAAAATTTTAACAGATATTGCCAAATCGTTTCTCTCTTTTCTCTCCCAAGATGGGACCAGTGAGTCAGCTTCCCTTACAAAGTGAGTAAGGATGCATATTTTTTTTCTGTTCACTTCCTAACATTGAGTACTTTAAGTATTCAGTCAGATAAGTAAAAGTGGTTATATAAATAAACATATTCACATTATTGTTATATATACTCACATATACATTACAGAAATACTATACATACACACTGAAACATAATTGCAGGAATGATATGATTACAGATGAGTTTGCTGGAATCTTGGGTCCACCCTGTGTGTTGTACAGTCTGGAGGATCTCACCTGTTCAGCACTTGTTGCTCAGGGTATCTAGCTATGAGGGATGTTCATCAGTAGATCTCTTTAGGGCAAAAACTGCAAAAAAAGAGGGCAAGAGAAAATTCTGAGAAACAATTAAGAGCATTTAGTAAATGTTAACCTGGATATGTGAAGTACCAGGATAAATGAAGAGATAATTCGAAAAAGGTTCACTTGAGATATGTTAAACCAATATAGGTCAGTTTTAATATGCAGCCACCTGAACTCTGAAAGGAAACTGGATTAACACATTTTTAGTATTGTTATATACTACTGTATGAACCTATCTTTTCAGTAGCTTTTCATTTTGATAAAATTTCAAGCATAATGAAAAGTTACAAGAATAGTACAAAGAACTCTTATAAACTTTTACCCAGATTTACCAGTTGTTTCTGGTTTGCTCTGTTTGTGTATGTGTGCTGTCTCTGCCTCTGTTCCTTCTCACCTTCTCTCCTCCTTCCCTCCCTCCTTCCCTCTCTCTTTCACACACACTTTCCCCTTGAACTGTTGTAAGAGCGAGCAATCTCTTTATTCCTAAATACTTCAGTGTGTATTTTCTAAAAATAGGGGCATTCTTTATTACCACCAGAGTACAGTATTCAAAATTAGGAAATTTAACATTTTTACCTAATCTGTAGTATTCACATTTCATCAGTTATCTCAATAATGTTCTTTAGAGCTAAGTTTTCACTACTTGATGTCTCTTTAGTTTCCTGTTCATCTGAAAGAGTTCTGTAGCCTTGTGTTTTTTGATTATGACATTTTTGAAACATACAAACTAATCATTTTGTTGAATACCCTCAATTTGAGTTGTCTGAGGTTTTCTCTTGATTAGATTCAGAAATATTTTTTTGGCAGTAACAGCACAGAAGAGCTGTTCTCCAATGTGCAATGATGTCCGTTTGTCTTGTTGCTGGTCTTCTTAACTCTGAGTACCCAGGTCACCAAGCTTCTCAGTAAAGTTACTCGCTTTATAACTGATAAGTAATTTGTGGAAACATGATTTTTTGTTTTTGCCTTCAACACCTTAGATTTTATTTCCGTGTGTAAAACAAGTCTAGAAATAGAAGTTTCCACTACTATGATAAAAACGACATGGTACTGGCAAAAGAACAGACCTGAGAATCAACGGAACAGACTAAGGATGCAGAAACAACTTCAAACACACACAGCCACCTTATCTTTGAGAAAGGGGCCAAACACCTTTGCTGGAAGAATGGTAGCCTCTTTTTTTTTTTTTTGGTACCAGGGATTGAACTTGGGTCCTTCCACTTGTGAGGCAGGTGGCGGAACCACTGAGCTAAATCCCTGGCCCTAATGGTAGCCTCTTTAATAAATGGTGCTGGGAAAACTGGATTTCCACATGCCAAAGATTGAAACTAGACCCATATCTTTTACCACACACTAACCTAAAATCTAAATGGATCAAAGATCTAAATATTAAACCAAAAACACTAAATCTGCTGGAAGAGGGAATAGGCAGAATGCTTGAGGACATAGGTGTGGGCGAAGACTTCATGAATAAAAGCTAGACTGCTGGGGGAAATACTATAAAGAATCAACAGCCGAGACCTCATCTTATTAAAAAGCTTTTGCACAGCATGAGAAACCACCAGCAGAGTGAAGAGACACACAGCATGGAAAAAAATTTTACCGGCTAATCTAGACTATATAAAGAACTCAAAGAAATCAAACCCCCAAATTTAAACACCCATTCCAAAAATGGGCATCTGAAATGAAAAGATGAAAAATTAGAAACAGCAGATAAATATTTGAAAAAATGTTTGGGGCCAGGGCTGTAGCTCAGTGGTGCTACACCTGCCTGGCAAACACAAGATCCTGAGTTCAATCCCCGGTACAAAAAAAAGAAAAGAAAAAAGAAAAAATGTTCAACGTCACCGATCATTCATGAAATAAAAATTAAAACAACTCTGAGATTCCATATCATTCTGGGAAGAATGACTATTAATCAAGAAATCAACCAATAACATGCTGGTGGGGCTGTGGGGAAAAAGGAACCCTTCTATACTGTTGGTGGGAGTGTAGACTGGTGCAGCAACTGTGGAAATCACTGTGGAGATTTCTCAAAAAACTAAAACTAGAGGTTCCATTTGACTCACTATACCGCTTCTTGGAATCTTCCTGAAAGAATTAAAAGCATCATACTACAGCGATATATGCACACCCATGTTTATAGTAGCACAGTGTATAATAGCTGGATCTTGAAAATAGCCCATATGCCCATCAACTGACAAGTAGATAAAGAAAATGTGGGGTCTTTTTATACAATGAAATACTACTCTGCCATAAAGAAGGATGAGCTTCAGACATTCATAGCTAAATAGATGGACCTTAAGACCAAATTCCTAAATGAAATAAATCGGACCCACATGTTTAAATACCGCATTGTTTCTCTGGTGTGAGAAACTGAAAGTGGAAATAAGAACTGAAATGTATAGTGGATGTTGGGAAATGAGAAGAAAGTGTTCTAATGGGAAGGGGAACAAGGGAGGAGGGAGGGAGAAAGGAAAGAAGCGACAAGAAAAAAAGTGAAAATGGAAAAAATGAAAAGAAAGCTTCTGTACATAGGGGAAGGGGCTGGGGGGGATGGGGTAAAATAAAATTTATATATATATAAAGTCTAGAAATAGAAGTCTCCTTGTAGCCCTACTTTCCATCATTCTAAGGGTTTATCAGTTGTTCCTGTGGTTGACAGTGGCTGCCAAAGCTTTAGCCATCACATCTGTCCAGGCAGGAAGACAGCTAAAGGGCAAGAAAAAGTCTTGCCTCCTTAAAAATGAGACTCCCTGAAAATAGTACATAATGTTTCTTACATCTCATGACCAAAACTTAGTTACATGACCACAGCTATCTGCAAAGGAGGTGAAATACTGCCATCTTAGCTTGATGGAAATGTGTCCAACAAAAAATTAACATTCTGCTATTAAACAGGATATTGGGTGGGAACTAGCAGTCTCCAACTTCCTTCATCAAGAGGGAACATAAGTCCTCAGTTCAATTAAAAAAAAATTACAAGTTAGTACCCCATAGGTCTGGTTCCTTGGTTCCTTGTTGTAGAGACTCATCTTTTCTATTTTATTTAACAGTATTAGTTCTAAGGAGAATAAATATTTATTCATCTATTGTTGTTATGGTTTAGATCTATAATGTCCCCCCAAAATCTTATGTTTGGAAGGTGATTGGATCGTGAGGACATTATACTCATCAGCAGGTTCATCCATGAGGTCACTGAGGCCACTGAACTGGAAGGGTGTATTCTCATTCCAACTCCTACTCCTCTCCTCTGTTCCCTGGCTGCCATGTGAACAGCTTTCCTCCACCATGTGTTCTGCCATACTATTTCTCCTTGGAGCCAGCCAAGCATGGACTGAATTTACTGAGACCAAGAGCCAAAATAAGCCTATCCTCAGGTATCAGATATTTTGTCCTAGTGACAGAAAAGCTATTACACCCACTAAGCCAATAAAAATTCTTAACATTCCATGTAAACCATAATACTCAATTTAAGTGAGCTTGAAAAAGCATGGGCCTGGATCTGATAGACCTGGGATTGCCATATACTGGGATTGTCATATACTCCCTGTTCACACCAGAATGAAGTTCTGATTTCTTAGGAAACCATTATGATTTTGTCTCTGCCCCCCCCCCCTTTTTTGCTGCTTTTGCAGCCATTTGCTGAGTGCCATTTTTTCTACCTTGTAATATTTTGAATGCCCTGTGTCCTGTCACTTTGCTGCTGTGTGCTCTGCTAGAAATGCCCTTTACCCAACTAACTCCT